ACTTCGACTTGGCTTGCGTGACGATCTCCCAAAAGCTTCCCCCTGGCCATCTACGAGATCTGCTGCGCGCTCGAGGAGGAGCTGGCCGCGCCGGCGAACTCGAGGCCAACGAGCAGCTCGCGCGCGAGCATGCGATGGTTGGCCTTGTCGCTCTCCTTGCTCATGCGCTCGAGCGTCTCGCGCAGCGGCACGCGCGCAGGCTTGGACAGCTTGCGCAGGAAGGTGAGCACGTCCTGAAGAGGGTCCTCAAAGAATGCCTCTCCGTAGCGCATGCCAAGGAGGCGAATGACGGCGCGCATCGGCGGGCTGACGTCAGGCTTCGAGAGCTCACGGACGAGGCTCGGTGCCCCCTCTATGCTCGCCCACGCGCTTCCGAGCAGCTCGTTGTTTCTCAGGTCGGCCTCCAGGATGATTTTGACCATCGTCGCGACCACGTCGTGCGTCTCGAAAAGAGTTTCGTCGCCGAGCATCGCACACTTGAAGACGTACATCGTACATACCAGCTCATTCTTAGGAGCGCCCGAGAAGTCGTCCTCCTCCTCGTTCTCGTTCTCGTCCTCGGACGGCAGCGCGTGGAGCTCGCCAATGTGCGCACCCTTGTTGACCAGCTTCTGGATGTGAGCAAAGAGCGCGCCGCGGTGCATCTTGAGAACGTCTTGGCAATCAGTTAGTTCGAAGAGCTTCTTGCGGCTGCGAGCGGTCTCGAGCGTGCGGATGTGGTCGGCGGCGATGGTGGCGTTGCTCTCGAATTCAATCAGCTCCTGCGTTGTGAGGCTCGACAGGCTGAATCCCTCCAGGCCGATGCGCACGCCGCGCTCGTGCACCGCCCGCTCGGCCGCCGCCTTGAAGTACTTGCACACCTCGGCCGAGCGGGCGAGGTCATTGGGGCGGAGGAAGCAGAAGGAGTGCACGAGGAGGTCTAGCGGCAGAACGACCTCGTCCGGCAGGATGGCCTCACGCAGTTTTCGCATGCGCGCTTCGAGTGCCACAATGGCCGTGTACTTTTTGCGCAGATTGCCATAAATTGTGGAGAACCGCTCGGCCTGCGCACGGGTGATGGACGTTTGGATGTTGAGCTTGGAGACAAAATCGGAGGAGGCTTCCAGCGCGTCAAGGGCTTCGTCGAGTGAGGAAGGCGACCACGCGCTGCTGCTGCCCACGCGCTGCTTCTTGCTGGGCTGCGACATGTGTCGGCGCGCCGGTCTTGAAGAGGGTTTTCGCTCAGTGGAAGGAAGGATCTCAGATATGAGGTATTTTTATCTCGCCGCGTCTGTGTCGTACTACAATATTGCAAGAATAGCCGCCAATATTGCCATAGCTGCCCTGATGCGTTCCTCTAGTTTGGTCAGATATCCCCACTCCCGTACACCGAGCCAGCGCAACCGGTACGTGGGTACAGCCTGATACGCGACATGCAGTCTCATCATACTGCAATACTGCATGAGATACCTCCCCTTACTCCTGTACCTCACATGCACACCATATCCCAATACGGCGAAGTAATCATACTTGGATACTGCATCACAGCTCCATCCGTACTGCTGTACTGGGGCATACTGGAGAATACTGGAGAATACTGCTCCATACTGGTGCATGTGCAGTGCTGCGGCGGGATCTACCACTCGGCTGCCAGACTCACTAGAGCACCCGGAGCCAGAACTCACACTCCCAGGTTGCAACTGCTAGCAGCGGCGCTCGGCGGCGCACCTGGCCTTGCAAGGGCTAGCTAGCTTAATGCCGGCCGCATACTGCAACTGCTGCTGGGCGGTCCTTGCTCAATGGATTGATCCAGCGCTCGTCGATGGGCAGTCCTAAAGAGGCAACGAGGCATCCTGAAGAGGCCGGCCTATCCTGCAGCGGCATCACAAACAGGTTGTGGTTGCAGGTGCGCGCGCGCCCACGCACACGCAGAGCCACCACGCCGCCTCTTCCCACTCCCACTGATGCGAGTTTGACTGTGGCGAGGTGTGACTCATGAGATGTGACTCTCGTGGGTGGTGGCGGAACACGGCGATCGAGCAGGGGTGCTAGGACGGGACGCACCAGACGGGATGAACCAATGGATTGTGTCCACCGTCCCCAGAATGCGCAGTCCGCAACCGTCGTACTTGTGGCTGAGCTCGTCGCAACGCGGAGGGAGGAGAGGCCTTTGTGGATTTGTGCCCCGATGATCCACAGCACGGCGATCGCTCTGTCGCCAAGCCCCACGGAACGGCGCACTAGTGCAAGTCGCGCCGCACCCCAAGTGCCCCCGACCGCGCCTGGAAAAAGAAAAGAAAGCCCCTGCCTTACTGAAATATTCGAATCAGAAAACGGGGGGCTGGCGCTGCACCAGGCCAATGGCTTGGGACGCAAGCGCAATCTGCGCCACAACACATCGCACAAGCGCAATCTGCGCCACAACACATCGCACACGCAAGCAGATGACCACACAATCCGCTTGTGGTCGCTTCTGGTGGGCGGCAGGACGTTGCCGACCGCGCCGCTGTATTTGTCCCAAGCCGTCTGCAACGTGCTTGGAAGGAAGCCAGTGTCATACAGTGTACCGCGCCTGGTGCCACAGTCCCGCACGGTGTAGGTCAGGGGCATGCCCGCCACGAGGGCGAGCATGCCGACCGAATGCATGTGTCGCACAAACCTCATATTCGTGCGTCCCCCCAAATTTAGGTATTGAAGACTCTGCTTTCATCGTTCTTTTGTTTTTTTCATGTTGAGGACTTGCCACTCGAGAGGCCGCCGTCGACTCTCCAGCAAAGGCGACGCGCCACTGCGCATTGAATCGCATGTTTCCCGAACCGCACACACAAAAACGACTCACGCACATACCTCGTGCGCACGGCTGCCGTCTTGGTGCAACGAACGAGGCTGGCAGATAGCGCGACCGCAGACTGGCAAACGCGACAGGACGTTGCCCAGGACAAGAGCGGCTCCAAAGTTTGGTCTCTTCATTCATTTAGGAACGGGGACGAGATGTCCACATTCAGCTTGCCTGGCCAGACATACTCCTGTGCTGACACGCAGCGCCAAATACAGCCGGCACCAGCATTCGTGAGAACTCTTGCCGTGCGCACCCCCGTACAACATCCTGTTACCACTACCTTCGGCACTGCGGGATTGATGCATTTGCTCGAGCCGTCCCATTCCAACGCCAACGATTGCGACTTTGGAGCTACTGCCAGCTTCTCACCTCTCCCCCTCGATGTGCACATGCACATGCACACATTACGTATGTGTCGCTTCCCGACGTTGCGCACTCGGTCGGGATCAAACACGAGGACAGTGGCGGCCCTGGCAAAACTGCGCAGCATCACCGGTTTCAAGAAGAGCAAAATTGAGCCAGAGGCGCGCTACCTGCTGTGTCACTGTCTGGCCCGATGCCTCCCCTCATACTGCTGTACTGGGCCATACTGGAGAATACTGGAGAATACTGGCAGATACTGCACTGGTGCTTCCGAGATACTGCGATACTCCAAGGCTCGACATACCCAAGTATGATGCAGTACACCAGTACCCATACTCTGGGAGGCGCCCGGCGTACCTGCATACGTCCTAGCGTGCCGCGCCTACTGCCATATTGCGTCGTATTGCGCCGCAGCCTCCCAGTTACTCCGCTACTTCGCCCACACACTGAAAGAGATAAAATCAAGTATTTAAAGTATGTGTACTTGTGATTGGACTGGAAATACGTGTGTATTTCAGTTCAGCAGTGTTGTACTAGCATACTCCCATACATGAATTATACCTGAAATCCTCCTTTCCACTCAAGGGTTGTAGGTATATTTGAAGGGTGGGAGGTGACCGTGGAAGAGGATGGCTGTCGCGAATTCGACCCAGCCTTCTCGCCGCCCCCACACGAGTGAGGTGGAGCCATCATGCGGCCGGGCGGATAGCCAGGACACAGCCATCGCAGCCATCGGCCGGAGGATGGCTGCACTGGCTAGAAGGCAGCCAAAATGGCGCGTGCATCTCATCCGTCGACAAAAAACATTACGAGACAGCCTTAAAAAATAATCGAAGCACCAGGAGCAGCAGCACGCGCCTCGCGTGTGTGCGTGCGTAAGCCGCCTCACTCCAGATGCCCAGACCTCGCCAAAGCTCCGTAACCTCGCGCAGAGGCCGCGATCCCTCTCCGTCCTTGCCGACGGTGGCGACGCTCCCGCTCGGCTGCTCCGTGGCGGCCTTCACGGCGGCCTGGGAGCGGTCGCATGCGGTGGTGCTCAAGCGGCCTCGCCGGACGACCCGCGGATCCGCAGCGCTGGTGCCGGCGAGCGGCGCTTTTGAGGCGGTCCGCGAGCTCCTCCGAGACGACCCGGAGATTGGCGCGACCTTCACTTCAGAGTGCGGTAGTGCGCCCGACTCCAAGCGGCGGAGGCGCCTCGGCCTGCAGGTCGGCTCGGACCAAACGCGCGGCGCGGTCCTCGGTCGGGCCGCACCGCCGGGCGGCTCCTGGTACTGCAGCTGGATCTCCGCGCGGGAGGACCTCCTCCAAGCGGTGCCTCTGTCTCGGCCGCCCTGCCTGCCCGCTTCTGCAGCGCAAGAGGCGGCCGTCTGGTGGTTTGTGGGGCGGAACGGCTCTTCCAACGAGGCGCTTCCGGGCCGGCCCGAGCACACCGACGAGGTGTCTCACGACGGGACTTGGCACTGCCGGCTCCCGAGGCCCGAGGACGACTGGCAGCCTACTCCCGAACGCTGCTCGGAGCGCCTCGCCCGTAGGCACTACCAGCTGGAGGGGTCCAAGGAGTGGAGGCTGAGGCCGACGACGGAGCTGTGCGAGCGGCTGCGAGGCGGCGGGCGGGGCGGCGGCGGCGGCGGCGGCGGCGGCGGCGGCGGCGCCCCGCCGGCGCAGCGCGTGGTGCGCAGCGCGGGGGAGGTGCTCGTGCTGTCGAGGACACGTCCACGACTTGTCCGAGACATGTCCATAGGTGTGCGGCGCGGGGGACGTGCTCGTGCTGTCGACGCAGGACTGGTGGCACTCGACGCGACTGCCGCCCCTCGGCAGCTTCCTCTCTGCCTCACAGGGGAGGGAGGGCGGATCGGTGAATGAGCGGACACGGCGAGTGGACCGTCAGGCGGCGGTCTCTCCGTCTCCTACGCCAGGGAGTTCACCCTCTCGCCCTCGGGCAGACCAGGCGCTGCCGGCGGCGCGGAGGCGGGCGGCGGGCCGACGAGCTTCACAAACGTGGACGGCCTCTTCGCGAGAGAGGCGCCCCCCCCCCCCCCTCAACCCTCAAGAAGTCATTCGCCATTGATCGTGGGTAGGATTAGGTCGCCTCGGCGTCCAGTAGCTCAGGTCCCATCTTTTATTGACGGCCTTCCCCAGACACACTATCAGATCGCTCTTTTCCAAGAGCGAGGACCTCCAACCCCCACACCGATTCACGGATAAAATTATGGTTCTCGACCACGGGGTCAGCTTAAATTAGTGAAGGGTGGGCGATCCATCGCCCCCCCCCCCCCCCGGCAATATCCCCCCCGCTTGCCGTCCACATCCCCCCCGCGCTCCCGCCCCCCCCCCCCCCCCCCCCCCCCCCCCCCTCTTCTTCCCCCCCCCCCCCCCCCTTTTGCCTCCCCCGGCCCACTTCCGGTTCCGGTGACGGCAGGCGATCGAGGCGGGCACCATCATCATGTCGGAGGAGGAGGGGTGCGGCATGGAGCTGCCGACCTCCGCCACGCCGAACTGCGAGGTGGTCGAGGTGGAGGACGAGGAGCAGGGCGGCTCCTCGCTCTGCCTCGTCGCCTGCCGTCGCATCCGCTCGGGTGAGTTTCTCTGCATCGCAGAGGACGACGACTAGAGAGGCTGCTGGCTCACTGGCTGGCGTGTGCTTGGGGTCACCGAACGTGCTTGAAGAGAGATCGAACGTCGTCGTAGATTTTGCCCGATCGGCGATGTCGCAGGAGGTGGTGGAGAATGACCTCCAGACTGACCCGGAGAATCACCTCCACCAGCCCCACCTCAACACCCCTATTATCACTCTCTCCCCCCCCACAGTGATGAATAGTCCGCCGTGTCCCCATATCCCTATATTCCCACACCCTGTGCAGTGGCACGTCGTTGACACCCAGACCCCTAATATTAGACATCTTGGGCACGTCACGCTTCCCCAACTCCCGTTGTGCAAGTTTGGCACGTCATAGTCTCTGACTGCTTCTCGGGGGGCCGCCGCGCCGCGAGACAGTCGACCTCTTTAATGTTGTGACACCACAACTCGGCGCAGCTGGCGCCTTTCCCCCCACCGGTGTGACACCACACCTTCGTACCTTGAATACCTGCTACAAACATGTCAGTCTCGGATTGAGGATGGCTTTACAGCCTCACTTGCGGTCAGCAATACCGCAGAGCCGCGCACGCGGCTCACCACTCATACCTGCTGGGCACCAACCTTTGGGTCCAGATGACTATCCCTCTATTGAAGAGGGACGAGGGACGCCTCACGAGCCTACGGAGGGCCTCGACCCGTCTTCTTGCTGGTCAGACCACTTCAATCCCCACGACACCACGTTGGGCAGGCTTGGTGGCAACACCGAGCCCAAGGGCGGCATCGATGTACTTGACAAGTCATCGCCGCCTGGCTCCGTTGGGGAGGGGGCTATGCCAGCTGGAATGCCTTCTGCCAGGCTGCCGGCGAGCCCTTCTCCGGCGGAAGCCGTATCAGACCCGAACCGCTCCGCTTCGCTCCTGCTCGAGCTCCCCGCCATCGGCTCCGCCGCTCGCCTCTTCGCCCGTCGCGCCGCCGTCCGCCGCGCCGTCTACGTGCCAGCCTGCTGATTCACGCGATCCGCCATTCGAGGCTGGTGTTGCGTCTGTCTCCGCTGCCGCTGCTACGTCGCTCGTCGCGCCAGACGCTGCCTCCGCTCCGCTCGGCTCCTACTCGAGCCTTCAGCCGTCTACTCGCCGCCGATCGAATCGTGCCAGGAAACCTCGACCGTACCGGTACGAGAGACGCAAAACCCTCACGCCCTCGCCGCCGATAGCGGATAACGCCGCAGCCGGAGCCGCCGCCGCAGACTGTTCACCTGACGCGCTCGACGGTGTCTCCACTGCCGACTCGCCGGATACCGGCTTCACGAGCGCACGACCCCCTCATCTCTCGGCCGTGTCGCTCGAGACGGTGCCCGGTTCGAATCTCATCTCTACTCTCGCTTCGCCGCCGATAGCGGATGGCGCCACGACCGAAGCCGCCGCCGCTGCTACCTCGCCACCTCGCCGCCGCGACGCGCTCCTTCATCGACTCGCGCACGTCTTCTGCCTCAACACGCTTCTTCCCGAGCGGCTGTAACGTGATTACCGCCCTCAACCCACTACCAGAGCTCTGGCTTGGTGGAACATTTGAACTACCAAGCCGGCGCCGCCCTGGGCAAGGCGTTAAAGTGCACCCGTCGTGGTGGGTTAGTCATCATCACGCCGCACAGGGACTCTTCACGATGATCGGTCGCCATCGTGTCGCACGCAGACCAAGCTACCATGCAAGCTGCAGGCACCGTGCTGACAGGGTTATCCATATCAGAGCGCCATCCAAGCTACCATCCAAGCTACAGGCACCGTGCTGACAGGGTTATCCATATCAGAGCGCCATCCAAGCTACCATGCAAGCTACAGGCACCGTGCTGACAGGGTTATCCATATCAGAGCGCCATCCAAGCTACCATGCAAGCTACAGGCACCGTGCTGACAGGGTTATCCATATCAGAGCGCCATCCAAGCTACCATGCAAGCTACAGGCACCGTGCTGACAGGGTTATCCATATCAGAGCGCCATCCAAGCTACCATGCAAGCTACAGGCACCGTGCTGACAGGGTTATCCATATCAGAGCGCCATCCAAGCTACCATCCAAGCTACCAGGCTCAAGCCATCAGACTACCAGTCTACCAAGCTATCAAACTACCAGGCACGCGGCACGCTTGCCAAGCTGCCAGGCTCGACCTATCAAACTACCAGGACAACCCTGACAGCCACGAGATGGATACACCAGCCCTCCGGGGTGTGAATAATACCGGTGGTTCAACTCAACGCCAGTTGGTATCATACAAACAAGTTCGACTCAAGACAGCTCCTGACACAGCCTCTGACGGCCCCCCTCCCCGACTCAGACAGCTCCTGACACAGCCTCTGACGGCCCCCTCCCCGGGGGAATGGCTACCCAGCTGTCGCAGGAGGTGGTGGAGAATGACCTCCAGACTGACCCGGAGAATCACCTCCACCAGCCCCACCTCAACACCCCTATTATCACTCTCTCCCCCCCCACAGTGATGAATAGTCCGCCGTGTCCCCATATCCCTATATTCCCACACCCTGTGCAGTGGCACGTCGTTGACACCCAGACCCCTAATATTAGACATCTTGGGCACGTCACGCTTCCCCAACTCCCGTTGTGCAAGTTTGGCACGTCATAGTCTCTGACTGCTTCTCGGGGGGCCGCCGCGCCGCGAGACAGTCGACCTCTTTAATGTTGTGACACCACAACTCGGCGCAGCTGGCGCCTTTCCCCCCACCGGTGTGACACCACACCTTCGTACCTTGAATACCTTCTACAAACATGTCAGTCTCGGATTGAGGATGGCTTTACAGCCTCACTTGCGGTCAGCAATACCGCAGAGCCGCGCACGCGGCTCACCACTCATACCTGCTGGGCACCAACCTTTGGGTCCAGATGACTATCCCTCTATTGAAGAGGGACGAGGGACGCCTCACGAGCCTACGGAGGGCCTCGACCCGTCTTCTTGCTGGTCAGACCACTTCAATCCCCACGACACGATCGTTTTCTTTCGCACACAAATTCTCATGTGCCAGTCAGTCCGCGCCAGTCCGCGCCCTTGTCGTGCCAGTGTGCTGTGAGAGAGGCTTGACGTAAGAATTCTTCTGTTATACTGCGAGTGTCGAGCACTTGGAGCACTCAGGACCTCAACGTCGCGTCCCCGAGACCTCGCTAGGTCGAGCCCGGACCTGCCCATGTCCCGCTTCGCCGCACTGGAAGGCATGAGCGATGAGCCTGCAGCACCGCAGCAACGCGACTGTGTCGAGCCAACTGCATCGGTGCTCGACGACCCACTCTTCTGGCTGGATTTGGAGATGACGGGTCTCGACAGCCGGCGTGACGTCATCCTTGAGGCAGCGATGCTTGCCAGCGACAGCCAGCTTCTTCGGACCGTGGATGGGCCTGAGATTGTCATCCACCACGCGGACCCGGTCCTCGCCGGCATGAATGAGTGGAGCCGCCAGCAGCACGACCGATCTGGGCTGACTGAGCGATCCCGACTGAGCACCACGAGCCTCGCTGCGGCCGAGGCGGCGCTGCTCGCTTTTGTGGAGACGCACTGCCCTGGCGACGCAAAGGCTGTGCTTGCGGGCGCGTGCGTCTACAAAGACCTCGAGTTTGTGGAGGTGCACATGCCGCGGCTACGCGCGCGGCTGTCGCATCGCGTGGTGGATGTGTCCACCGTGAGGCACCTCGCCCACGCGTGGTACCCTGGTGCGGCTCGCAAGGCCCGCGCCGCCCTCTCCGCGCACGCGTACACGCACCGCGCCCTCGACGACGTTCGCCACAGCATCGCAGAGCTGCGATACTGGCGAGAGCACTGCTTCAGACCGAGCGGAGGCGGCAGCAAGGGCGGGCGGGCGGCGAGAGGCTCCAAGGCGGCGGCGGGGCGCAGGGAGGCCGCTGCGGCGAGGTGCGGTGGGGAGGACAAACGCAGTCCCGTCGCGGAGCTTGTGTCGGCGATGGACAAGCTTTAGTATCACTGTTGCGAGGGGGTTTTGCCCCAACCCCCCCGGGGTGTTTAATTTTAAATTAAAGGGAAGGGGGGTTTCAAATTTTGGGGGGTTGGGGGGGAAACCCCCAGTTTAGGGGGATCCCCCCGCCCAAGCCCCAGGGAAGAGCTTTAAAAGACCGGGGGGGGTCCCCCCCCCCCGGCAGGGAGAAAAATTTTTGAATTTAGAAGAGCATGGGGGGGGCCCCAAAATTGTTGGGTCCCCCCCGGAAAACCCAGGGTACCCGGGGTTTTAAGCCCTTGGCCAAGGGCGGACCCCCCCCCCCCCCCCAAAAGAAGAGGGGTGCTACATGGCCGACACCCCCCCCCCCCCCCCTTAGCAGGGACGGGCCCTTAGAAGTGCAGGGGCGGGGGTACCGAGCAATGTGCGGCCGCTCCACACAATCATTGAGCAGCACTGTGTCCGTAAGCGCACCACAACCAGCCGCACGGCGTGCATTTTTTCATCTTTTTTCTGGTGCTCTTCTAATTAACGCTCACTGAACTCGAGCTTGGCACTGCACAATTTGCAAAAGCCAAAACGGGTCTTAGTTCACTCTATTACTCTTCGTAGATCGTACGTCTAGTACTATCTCATGTCGGGCGTCGGGGCTCGGAGACAGTCGAGGTGAGCATTTATTTTTGACCACATCATCTAAGACGCCTGAAAGGGAGGACATCTCTATCGCTTGGTATATTGAATTCGTCATACTGATGCCGTGTCCTGGAGCGGCACCAAAGCATAAAAATGTGAATGGCCATACCAGCTTGCCATCGGCATCGCCCCATAATACGGCTTGCAGCGGGGGGGGGGGGGGTATCACTTATCTCAATTACGTGTGATCCGGGCCGCAGCCAAAATTCATGTGCAAGGCCTGCCCCGTGGGGTCCGAAGAGAATGTCACAACGCCCCGCTCGCTCGACCTGCGAATGCAACGGCACCTTGTCCGCAAACTCTTGCACATCATAGTCCAGAACATTCTTATTGCGATCGCGGCCCACGCCCGGAGATCACCCTCCACCTTCCCCTCCAGCTCCTTTGTCCAGTAGCGCACCCTATCCTTGCGTAACCGCCGCGACATGTAGCACACGGCAGGGCGATACCTGCTTGTCTCAATAAATACCACGCGGTGAAAGCACTTGTCCTGCTGGGGTGCCTTGCTGGTGTTAGTGTACATTCCCCACGCCAAGTCCGCCAAGTAGACCGGCGGGGAATCCTCCAGCATGGAGATTGGCAAGCGAGTGCCACATGTTTGCGCAGATTTGTCTAGAAGTTCTGAACTACCACCACCACCGTAGACGAGGGCTCCTGGCCGGCATCGCACCCGAGATAGCGGTCGTACTCAGGCGCTGCTCCGCCATCACCCTGGATCCTCATGGTATCGTCCGTCCGCCTACGCACCTAGGAAACGTAACTAGCGCCAAAATTGAGATCACAGGATCGACATTAATTTCTCGCGCCTGCTTTTGCTGCTTGAGGCTCGCCAAACAGATCCTGCGTCCATGGCCGTGTGCAACGTCAAGTCGTCAACCGCGACAAGACCATCGCGCCAACCGCGACTCTCTCTGTTGCTTTATGCGGCAGCATTCACCGTGACTCTTGCCGTGGATGGTGAGTGACCGCGGTTGCTTACGCAATACTACGCCATGAGCTGAGCTTCACCAGCCGTTTCTCGTCCTTCCCTTGCCTTCTCTTGCTGTCCGTTCTCTGTGGACTGTGCGCATTCCACTGCATGCGGCATCACAAGCGTCTTCTGCCGGGCGCGCATCTGAAATCGTACCTGGTAGGCCATCGCTTTGCTGAAAGATCAGGCGCCTGAATGGCGACAGTGAGCGTCTCCTACTTATGGATTGCGCTCGAGGTACGAGGAGCGCAAGAGCGCGCCGCAAGCGATTTTTTGGCGGCAGGGCGCGTCCAGTTTATCTTGTGATCACGCGCGAGCCTGTGAATAGGCCCGCAAATTAAGGGTTGACGGGGGGGTCTCAACCGTCAACCAGATGGTTGAAGGGGGGGCCTCAAGCCTCAACCCCTCACCACCCACCCGGACCTCTCTGACGGAGCTGACTCTGCCCACTCAAGGCTCGGCCAAGTCGCCGCCGCCGCCGCCGCCATGCCCAGCGACGACCCTGCCAGCACGCCCTCGCCGGTGGCCACGGCCACGCGAGTGCCTGCCGCGATCACTGTCGGCGTCTGTGTGATGCGGAAGAAGTGCGAGAAGCTCCGGCCGCTCCTCGCCGAGATGACGAGCGGTGGCGACATGACCGTGGTTGTATTCGAGCAACAATCCATCCTAGAGGATGCCGTCTCGGACTGGCCAGTGGTGGACGTCCTCGTTGCCTTTTACTCCAAGGGCTTCCCGCTCGCGAAGGTCGGCGAGTATGTCCGGCTCCGCGAGCCATTCTGCTTCAACGCGATCGGGCCGATGAGCGAGCTCCTCGATCGGCGAGCCATCTACTCGCGGCTGCAGCAAATTGGCGTCGCTGTGCCGAAGCACGTCGTCTACGACCACCTCGGCGGCGGCGAAGGTCTCGTGCTGCGAGAGGACTACCTCGAGGTCAGCGGCGTCCGCATCAACAAGCCGTTCGTGGAGAAGCCCGCCTCGGCCGAGGACCACAACATCCACATCTACTACCCGCCTTCGGTCGGGGGCGGCTCGAAGCGGCTCTTCCGCAAGGTGGGCGGCAGATCGCGGCCCATGTCGCGCGTTCTCGGCTGAGCTCGGCTCAGCTCCTTCCGCAAAGGTGGGCGACTGCTCGTCGGCCTTTTACCCGGACGTGTCCGAGATCCGGCGCGACGGCGCGTACATCTACGAGGAGTTCCTGCCGACCGAGGGGGCTGACCTGAAGGTCTACACGGTCGGACCCAAGTATGCGTACGCCGAGGCGCGCTCTCCCGTGGAGCCCGTGGAAGTGCTCATCTCCGCCACGCCAAGGCCTCGCATCGGGCCCTCAGGCACCCGCCTCTGGAGCTGAGAAGTGCTCCCTCTGTTGACGGTTAACAGGCGCGCAAGTCCCCGACCTTGGACGGGCGGGTGGTGCGCGACCCGAGCGGCAAGGAGGTCCGCTTCCCGGTCCTGCTGACGGCGCACGAGAAGGACGTGGCGCGCCGCATCTCGCTCGCCTTCGGTCAAATGGTCAACGGGTTCGACATCCTCCGTGCGCACGGCGCCTCGTACGTGTGCGACGTCAACGGCTGGTCCTTCGTCAAGTCCTCCTCGGCTTACTACCAGGCGCGCGGGCTGCCCGCCTCCTCCCTCCTCACGTCTCCTCCCTCCACGCCTCCTCCCTCCTCACGTCTCCTCCCTCCACGCCTCCTCCCTCCTCACGCCTCCCTGCCTCTCGCACCGCTCCTCGCCCCTCCAGGACGCGGCCGCCGTCCTCCGTCGCATGGCGCGGCGCGCGATCTCTGGCGAAGACTCGCCCTTCCTCGGAGCCCACATGGGCCCTCCCCACATGGGCTCGCCGCCGTCGCTCGGCTGCTCCGGCGACCGCCTCCCCGCCAACCTCTTCAGCCGCACCGAGCCGGCGGAGCAAGGCTGCGCGCGGGCGGCGGCGGCGACGCGGCCGCCCGAGCTGCGCGCACTCGTCGCCGTCGTGAGGCACGGACGGCCGCACTTCGGAGCAGAAGCTGCCTAGAGCCTTCCTCGAAGCTTCTCGGAGCCTTCCCGCAGGCACGGCGACCGGACGCCGAAGCAGAAGCTCAAGATGAGGGTTCGGAACGCGAAGCTGCTGCGCTGCTTCGAGGCGCACGGCGTGGGGCGCGGCTGCGCGGAGGCAAAGCTCAAGACGCCCGTCCAGCCGCAGGAGGTGGTCGGCCGTCCGTGAGCCATCCGCGGAGCTTTCTGTGACGCTTCCTGTAGGCCCGTTCAGCTGCAGGAGGTCCTCGACCTTGTCGAGGAGCTGCTCGCGGAGAGCGACGCCAAGCTCGCGCCCGGCTCGGAGAACTCGAGCGAGTCCGAGGCGGAGCGGCGCGGCTCCTTGGGCACGTCCACGGCACGTCCCCGTGACGCGTCCACGACACGTCCATGCCAGGCGGACGGCGTGCCGCTCGGCAAGCTGCGCCAGCTCCAGCTCGTGCTGCGGCGCGGACGGAGGGCGCACGCGCAGGCTGTGAGCAGCGCCTGATGCCGGCACGAGTGTGCACAGGCGTGGCCCCTTCGGAGGGCTCAACCGCAAGCTGCAGGTCAAGACGGTGCGCGCCGCCGAGGGAGGCCGCCTCGAGGAGGCGCTCCTCGTCGCAAAGTGGGGAGGAGAGCTGACCGAGGCGGGGAGGGCGCAGGCGGAGCGGCTTGGCCGCTCGCTGCGTGAGCAGCTCTCGCGCGCCGACGGCGCCGACAACCTGCTGCACCTGCACTCGACCTTTCGGCACGACGTCAAGTTCTACTCGTCGGACGAGGGGCGCGTGCAGCTCACGGCGGCGGCGATCGCTAAGGGCCTGCTCGAGCTGGCGGGCGAGCTGCCACCCATCCTCGTGTCGCTGATCCGCAAGGACGCCGCCGCGAACGCCCTCCTCGACGACAGCTCCGCCGTCTCGGCGCAGGTGGGAGAGGCAGCCGAGATGGCAGCCGAGAGGCAGCCGAGAGGCAGCCGAGGGACAGCCGAGATGGCAGCCGAGAGGCAGCCGAGAGGCAGCCGAGATGCAGCCGAGGTGAGAGACAGCCGAGAGGCAGCCGAGATGAGAGGCAGCCGAGAGGCAGCCGAGAGGCAGCCGAGGAGCAGCCGAGGATGCAGCTTGCAGCCGAGGTGAGCATCGCGTCTCGTCGCAGGCGAGCGAGATCAAGCGCGTGCTGCACGGGCTGATGCAGCAGCCGCCCGGCCTCGAGAGCGAGGCCGGGCTCGCGGGGCACACCTCAAGCGAGCCTCGGCCCAGCCCTCCTCGAGCCCTGTCGGAACTTACCCGCAGGCGGAGCTCGCCGAGCGGCTCGTGCCGACGAGGCTGCCCGCGCTGCTCGCGCCGCTGCGCGAGGTGGGCAGCCCGCGCGCGCGCGTCAAGGCGGCCCACGAGGGCGGGCCGCATCCAAGGACACGTCCGTGACTCGTCCATGGCATGTCGTCACAGGCGGTGCACGAGCAGGCGGGCCGGCTGCTCGCCTTGCTGCGTCAGCTGCGCGCGCAGCTCGGCGACGAGAGCACGGGCTGCCCTCGCGGCGAGAGGAAGAGCCTGCCCGGAACCTTCCCGGAACCTTCCGATAGGCGACGAGTACGAGCTCCTCTCGAGATCACGCGAGATTCCCCGAGATCACCCGAGATTGGCCGGGCAGTAGGCGACGAGTACGAGCTCTACGGCGGCGAGAGCCTCTTCCTCGCGCTGCAGCGGTGGCGCAAGCTGACGACCGAGCTACACCGGCCGCGCAAGGACTCGGGTTTCGACATCTCAAAGGCAGCCCGACAGCCG